CATCCAAACGCCAGGCCTCCGGCGAAGGCTTCCAAAGACGTCCAGGTACCTCACCGATCTGAAGCTCATTGGCAGATCCAGACTCTCCTCACGCGCTCAAGAGCGCGGTGGGAGGGATGTGTGGATCTCCCGTGACGAGTAGCACCCCACCTAGAACGCAACCCACTTTGCACTGGCAACCACAAGGTGATGCTGAAGTTTGCCCAAAAGGTGAGGTTTACAATCGCCGAAACGGAAGACGCAGCATGCACGGAAGACTCAAACCACGGCTGGCAACTTGTCCTACAAAGGCCAACTTCCAAAAGAAGGCGCAAGATGCCCTTAGCCAGCGCCATGAAAGACAGACACATGTTGATTAAGGAATTGTGAACTCCTGGTTGATTCCTGCAGCGCTGTCTCATTTTCCAGGGAACCTGCACTACACGGGGTTTCCTAGATCTGGTTGTGCAAAGCAATTTTGCCCAACCCCTTACTTTTCTCGCAGCTATTGCTATGGTATGCTTAGGTCATAGTGTGGGGGTGTGGAAGCCAACTGTCAGTATATGATGAAGGAGTCCTTTCACCGAAAAATGCCACTCCTAAACCCTCTCCAATAATCCACCAGGTGTTTATTAAGCCGGGTGGACAAATCGACAAATCACTCAACTTGACCACAGGAAATCCCGTGCGATGTTCGAGAATACCAGGGTTGTGGTTACCTTCCTAGAAATTCCTGTCAGCCTGTCGTTGGCTTCTTGGAGCAAAGCAGGGATTTGGATCAACGAAAACAAGGGTTGCTCCTTTTGGTTTCCCTGTCAACAACTCCTAAAACGGGTGTCCTCCAAAAACCCAGGCCCAAGTCGACTCGACTTCGGCAAAAGGAAGCCCGGTAGATATCCCTGGGAGGTTGCAGCAGAAACGGATTGGCCCCTCCCTTCCTTTGCCGGCTTTTGGGAAAGGCAAAACCCTTCCCTTTGAGAAAAACCGGGAAAACCGGGGGTTGCTCCCCGGAGCGCTCGACAAAAAAGGGCTCCTTGGAAGGCCGGGCCTCCCACACGAAGAGCAGCTTCCTGGGTCTCTCTTCCCAAAATCCGCCTCCCTCCATGTGAGTGCGAGCCCCGTTTGGAGGTGTTCCGGGGGTTCCCAATTTACCCGCAATTCTCAAAATAGGAGACCCCCCCAAAAAAAAAACGCTCCAAGGCTTTCTTTTCAGCTTGCACCTCAAAGCGCATCGAATCGGTCGCGCCGAGCGTCCAGGCCACGTGCATGCAGCAGGTGCCCACTACCAGCACCCACTGCACCAAGGCGTGGAAGGCCTGAAGCAAAGCAAATCGCGTGCTTTTGGACTGGACAACTCAAAAAACTCAAGGCTTGTTTGGTGTTTTTTTCCGGCTTGCTCTGATGAATCGGTCTTTCTTTGAAATGCGCCTTCGGAACCTTTTGCACAAAACCGCAAATTGCCAATCCGTTGTACAAGAAAACTGACCACCAACAAATGTGTGTATTTTATGAATTGGGCACCGGAGGTCGGTTCTTCCATGGAAATGAAACAGAAAACCCGAAGCTTTTCCTTTAGGCAGAACCCCTCCCAGCCGCCTGGTAGCCGCGTTCATCGCTCCAGGTCTCCATGGCGCCGCAGGAGACCAGCGGCGCGCAGAGCACCACGCACTTGAAGAACCACATCCGCTGCTTCTCCTATCGACTCGAAGTCTCGCCCAGGCCCCCAAGGCCGAGCATCCCAGAAGCTTGCCAATCAGAATGCCAGAGGGGGTTCTAGATCTGGATCAGTTTGGGGAAGGGGGTTTAGGGGCGACTTGTACAAGAAGCCCGTGATGTCCATGGGAAATTTGTGATACATATGTCAGCCCGCTACTCGGGACCTTGCAAACCCGACAGGCGATGAAGCAACCCCCTGCCCAGCAACCCTACCCAAAAAAGAGATTAACGCCAAAGGAGATTAGCAACCCTCCTCAACCCGAAAAGACAACGCTGGGGTTCCGACAAGAACAAAAACCCCCCGGACCACGGCAGAGAGTTTCACCTAAGCATGGGGTGTTTGAAGGTTGGTTTAAACCCGCGATTGAAAAATCCCATGGCTGATTTTAGGTGGGTGCCTGCCCCATTTTACAGGTGGATCTGAGAAATCCTGAGTCGACGTTAGGGACAACATAAGGGGTGGTTCCAAAGATGGTGTTGCCAGGTGGTTCTTTGAATGAGTACATGCTACTGTTAGTTTGGGAGAGGCCATGAGGGGACCCAAAATCGAAGGGCAAGCCGCAATTGTCATATGTTTTCTTGGAGAACTAATATCATTGTCCGTTCATATGTCCTCTTCAACATCACCCCGCCAAAATGAAGCTCATAACATGCGGTTGCTCACGTGTTTAAACCGCTCAATCTCTGCTTGCCTTGCGCCGAATAGAGTCATTCTTTGAAGGAGAAAAAACGGGGAAAAAATGAAAAGGACAGAACGTGCACTCGTTGCGGCCCTGGTAGAAAACAGGGAAAAACACTCTAAAACTAGGAAAACAAGAAGGATGGATTCCTTTTGGCTGCGAATTCTTCAAAGAACCCTGTTCAAAAGGGGCGGAACTATGGTAAAACTACGGTAGGAAAACGAAAGCACCAAATGCCGAGCGTCTACACTTGTGAGTTGAGGCTAGGTTCCGAGCGCCGCAAAACCAGGGGGTCTCACTAAATGTCTCCTGTCTTGAGAGAAGTTGACTGCTAGTATCCCCAAAAAACATCTCGGGCAGTCGCAAGCTTTTATCATGTGTCACGAATAATTTCGATTCGAGAGCCGCGGACTGGTTGAAATGGGGCGAACAGGACTATCCGCATGTCCCTCCCAAAAGGACCGCACCTGATATGTGAACCCCCTAACCGGCTCGGCGGAAGGGAGCAAGGAAACCCGTTTGCTGCTCCGGGTTCTTCTGTGCTTGGCTTCTCCAAATAGGAATCAACATGGTTGGGGTCCTTTAGGTGTCCCTTCAATACCAAAACAAGGTTTTTCGAGCAGCTTGCGAAGCTGCCATCTGCGGGGGTGGTCAAACATAGGGTGCCCTGTCCTGGTGCCGCCCAAAGTGCCCTTTCCTTTTCGGGGAAATCATTTTGCCAATCAAGTCGCCACGTAGAAGTCAAGCTTGTACAGCACCAGGGCGGTGAACATGAGCCTCAGGAGGAAAAACTGTTTGGCCGTGAAAACCCAAAAATCCATCCCCACTACCTGGGGATGATTTGTGGGCCATTCCTCTCAGGGCTTCCTTACAAGAACAAACCGCTTGAATGAATAACGCGCTTTGAATTAAAAAAATAAAATAAACCTCGCGCCCTAAGAAAGCCGCTTCCGGGACGCGCCCTCAGCTTCGCTCAGCTTCGGGGGCCCGGCATGCAAGACCCCGTCAGCGCGGAGAAGATGGCCCCCGCCAACTCCCAGCGCTGGTGGGCGATCCTCGGGGGGCCGGGGGTTCTGAAAGAGGGAACGGTGATCAAACAAACCTGTGGGTATGAATTTTAATGAGGGGCCCATTGGTGGACATCATTTAGGTGGGGATTCATGTCCATCAATCACTTTTGAGGTGGTTCCCTATTCAAATTCATGGCCATGTTTTCTCTGTGGTCTGGACAAGTTAGTGCCACTGCTGGAAAGCAAAGGACAGCTGTCCGTCACCTGTTGGATTTGTTTGCTGAATAAATTTGAACAACATTATTCGCCCCCTTTCAGTGTCCTCCAAAATGTGCAGATGGAATGGTGCTGAACGACAAAAATGTTTACTGCTGGTCCAGGCAATGATCTGTCAACTTTGGTCTGGACAAGTTGAGCGTCCCTTTTTGTTGGCTTCCTGTGGGGAACATCTTCATGTTGCGTGAATTACACTCGCTGCACCTATGGACTCACTGAACACCAGAGCACTTCTCCGTCCTCTTTGGCTTGCCCTACTTTAAGTGGATGTCGGCCAAGTGGGCGGTGAATGATCCGGAAGACCCAAAAAGCTTTGACAAAAATGATCCGTCCCCTTTCTCCCTTTCGGTCTCCTCTCGGCCAAACTAGTCCGACCGAGCCTTTGCACAAAAATCGTTAAAAGGAAAATGAAAAGCTCGAAGGGACCATAATTTGTCTGGCATCACAGGGATCCTTACATTATACACCTGAACATTGCCTTGCAAATGGCGGCTCCTTTTTTTGGTGGAAAAAGCCATGTTTCAAATGGGCAAAATGTATATGTTTACGGAACCCTGCATCAAGTGCTAGTCAGCCCAAACCCAAATATACCCAGTCTACCCGGGAGTGGTTTGGCAGATAGTGAGAACTACCACACTAGGTTCCAAGGAACACATGTTGTGCCTTTGAGGACCTTGACAAAAATGATAACCCAGAAGCAGACGTGAACGCAAGCAATGCACCAAGGATCCAGTAGTAACTCAGCGCCGGCAATAGATGCGAGGCCGCCGCGATGAGGCACACCCGCGCGTAAGCGTCGAAGGGCAGAAAGGTGGCCTGCAGCCTGGAGTTGTCACTGGAACTGGGCAAAGGGCCGAATGACACCGCGCTGTCCTTTCCCTTTGCACGTGAGTCGATGTGGTTTTGAAGCCCTCAACCGCAACCCCATTCCAATACTCGGGCCCTTTCTAGCATGTGTTGTTTAAACAGCCTCCTCTTGGCGTCCTGTAAAGGGGACCAGGGCCTGGCGGTTTCAGCTAGCCTTGCTCAAACCTGGCACTTCATGTTTGAACAACCTCTCGCATTTCTCTTCGGGTGCAAGTTTCAACTGTCTGGCTCTGCAACCATCCCTGCATCGGCATGATCTTTGATGCCCATGCCCACCATTTATGAGGTTCCAACTCTTGAAATCGGATATCCACATCCCGGGCGCTGCTGGAACAGCTTCACGTGCATCCCCAGCTCCGCCGGCACGCCCGGCGCGAACTCCCAAGGCGACTGGCTGTCCTTTCCGAGGCCCAGCCCGTCCGGCGCGTCGGGCACGTCGGGCGCCAGCTCGGCGCGCGAGTCGTGGCGCAGGGCTTCAGGACGAGCGTCCTGGTCATGGCCCTCCCCATTTGGTCAAACCAAAGTCATAGAGGGCAAGCCGTATTCCAACCAGGCGCTACAAGGGTTTGAGGCAAGTCTCCATGGCTCCCACCAAGAACGACAAGGAACTCCCCCGTGTGTTTCAAGCTTTGAACCCCCCCCCACCCCCAATTTAGGGGAAGCATAAACGGACAAAACTCCAAATGATGTTCGATGTGTGATCTGGGCGGGGCACAAAATCCGAGACCTTCCTTCCGTGTTCGCCCACATTCCGTACCAAGGATTGCCACCCTCAAAACCATTGGTACATGGGTCGAACTATCACCCCGCTCACAGTTCCAATCACATGGCGGCTGCACGTCAATAAACGCCCAGGTAGGGGGGCCAGTTTTGTGCTTGGATCCCTAGAAAAGCTGTAATTCCTGGGTCCACAGCCCACGTGAGTTTGAACATTTGTCTGAATCTGGGTCGTGGTGGGTCAAGCGTCACAAATGTCCTAAATCGGGAAATAACTTGGCGTGTGTTTCCCCTTTAGACATCACGACATCTAAAGGAAAGTTACTTGGACTTGTCGTTCCGAAAAAGATCATGTTGGCCTTTTCGGAAACCAGATGGATTGCCACCTATGGTTTCTACACATGGAGTTCTTAATCAGGTTTGTCTCAAATACTCAAAACTGTGTCCCCCAATTCCACTGGTAAACGAGTCTCAAGCCAAACTGAAACCAGTTGGGTTCCATCCATGCCGCCTAAGGTTTCTACCTTCATAGAGCTCTTCGAAACTGCGTTCCCCCAAAATGGGTCACCCGAACTCGCCCGAAAGGCGCCGCACTGTCCTGCAGCGCCTGGATGCTCCCGCGGCTCGCGGCGCCAGCGCCGACAGTTGCGCCGGGGACCAGCTGCGGAGGGCGGAAGAACTTCCCGACACCGCCGGCCTCGGAGAACACGAGGGAGAACCAGGGGTTGAGTTCACATGTGTCTAAACGACACAAAACCCGACCCCTGAAAAAAGCACCCCGAAACTTCATCAGCAAAGCAAGTAGCCTCATAGAAAGAAAGCACCCACCCACCCCCCAAAACAAAATCTGAACATGTCCTCTGATCCTTGTGGAGGGGCCTCAACCAAAAAACCGCGAGAATTCAGTCCCCCCCCCCACCCCCCAAAAAAGCAAACCAGCCAAACTTGGAACCAAAGGGGAAAAAAGATCGGACGTGTTCCAAGCAAAAGCTCGCGCCGTGTTCCGCCCGCCTCGTACTGCGCCAACTCGAACTGCGCCCTCCGCAGCTCCTGGGCGTCCGGGTACGGCGGGCGGATGGCCCGCGTCAGCAGCTGCACCGAGGCGCTCTGCGCGGCGATGGCGCCGTGCATGGCCAGCCACACGGCCAGAAACCCGTAGCACATGGCGGAGATGAAGCAGTTCACCCACCTCAGGGGAACTGACAGAGGTTCTAGGTGGCAAAAAGGAAAAAGGAGGCTTGAAGAGAGACAACCCAGCGAAAATAGAATGATTCGTCCGTCTGGGGTGGCAGATCTTTTGGAGGCTCGGCAGCTGGCTTCTTCGGAACAAAGGAGGCTTCAGCAGACTCGAGGGCTACAAAAAGCCAAACCAATGAATCAAAAAGGAGCGCGCCGAAAACGCATTGCCTTTGGGTTCTAATTGCTGGCATTCCGGCACAGGTTTATGTAGAACTTATTCTAACCTGGATGAAACCAGGTAGTAAAACTCAAATGAACATGTTGATGGGTTCTCAAAACTCGCTGTTCGGCAAACAACAACGAGCTTTGCCAGGGGTTCCCGAAATGCTCCCTTCCATCATTGAACTAGTCTTAGACGAATGTCCTGGTGTGGAAAGGGTGCAACTGTGCAAACCCTGACTCAGATTTAAGTGGAAGCTGGCGCCATGGCGTTTCTACCACGCTGGGTTCTACTTCTGAGCCAATTCTATTTCTGCAGTCTTTTTGGATAAGGACCCCAACCAAACACCAAACACCCTTCCAGTTTGAAGGGAGAACCCCCTGATTCCTTGAGACAAAGCCATGGGCCAGCCTGGTTCAAAGGGTATAGAAACCTTTTAAAGAAGGCCCAGCTTGATGACTTCATGTGAAAGTCAAAGTCAAACACGTTGCAAGCTCCTGAAGATACCCTCGTTGTTGCATGGTTTCCCTTTAAAACCACCATTCTGGAGATTAAGTGTTTTCGTTGGATATATTTTCCCTTCAAACCCCCTTTCCATTTCGCTCGACGAAAGGGCTTCCCAATGGGCGCCCGGGCAGGAGCTTCAGCCAGGGAGGGTCTGCGGGGAAGCCCTTGAGGTCGCTCCACATGAAGGACACGCTGAAGCCCAGGAACCTCAGCGCCCAGCGCGGTCTTTTTCGTTTTGCTCACGATTGAAAAAACGCTGAGGTCGCTCCCCATGGTGCTCGTTTGTGTTTGAGGAAAGAAACGGGAAAGAAACAGAACCATGAGTACTCTTCGAAAACCACAGCTGTTTCTCGGATTCATGGTTTCCAGCAAAGAGCTGGTTCCAAGTTCCGCTGTTGCTCAGGTTTTGGCGGCTTTTTCGGACGGACTTCACTTTTTGGCCGTTTGAAAGAGAACGCAAAAAAAGAAAAAGAAAAAAAAACTGAAAAGGCAAAAGCAGCAAGGTGAACTAAGTCTGAAGCCCAGACACAAGGTGCCCACCACCATGTAGGTGCTCATGTGGGAGGTGGTCAAATTGAACAAGTCCCGGATGTCCTCCGGTCGGTGGTGGGAGGTCAGACGTGACGGCGTCCGACCATTTTGCAGTCTTTAGGGCATTGCGGTCTCCAAGGTGTCGCAGGAATTTCAAAATTGGCGAGATGTTCCTTTTGACTTCGCTTTGAAGCAACCCCAAAAGAGCACCCTCCAAAACGGTACGCCCAAATAGACCCCAAAACAAAAACGTGCACGGAAAGGATGACCCACAGTTGTGGAAAGTGCTTCCCTTTCCAACAGCGTCAGAATGCGGTGCTTCCCCTGTCATGCCAGCCTATCCAAATCCTTGTGAGGAACCCCGACGTTGGCCACAGGCCAGCGGGAACATACTCATTGAGCTCATAAGGAGAGCCGAGTGCAAGGCAAAAATGATGCCGGCGGAAAAGCCTTCCGTCAGGCCCTGCAATCTGCACAAGCGGTGGCCCACTACTTTGTCTGAAGCGGGCTCTTTTAGCACAGAAAATGTGGCCTTCACTACTTTGTCACCAGGAATTCCAGCATACAGAAAGTGTGGCCTTGCATTCTTCGTCACTTGAACGAAGATGCGTGGCATCAAAGATTTGGCAGGATTCCGCAAAACAGTCAACAGCGGCGCCGGCGTCTCCTCCCGGAAAAGGCTCCACTGCTGGACGCGCATGTTGATCATTTGATGCGCGGAGGTCTGCTTCTGACCTGCAAAGAGGCGTCAAGGCTCCCTCGTGCGCGGCCCCATTACACGCAGAAAGTGAGCATGTCGCGCCTGCATCGAACTGAAAGCGCCCCTGGTTGTAGGCATACGCCTTACCAAAACAAAGCGGCACCGCCCAAAAGCAAGGAAAAAGCGAACTGTACCCAAAAAACACAAAGGACTGCCCAGGAAAAACTTGTCCAATCTCAGCGAAAGCGTCTGCCCAAGCGCTGCCCATCAGAGATTCCAGCACCATGGCGGCAAAGACGCCACGGGGGTTTGCTCTTTTTTGTCGTTTCTGAAAGTGGGGGCGACCCCTAGACCCTTTAAGTTGCTCTCAGTATTTTTAGTGTCCTTGCTGTTACGGGGGTCCCGATTTTTCAGACAGCGCCACGTTCCTAATTGCCCGGGTTTCAACAGCGTGGTTCAATCACATAAACGCAGAACTGTTTTGAATAACTGCACCCCGCTTTAATTGTTCATCCGTCGCGTGTGGTTGACAAAATGTCCCCAAAAAATGGTTGTCTCTTTAGTGCACCTTTCAAAATAGGGGAGCCCCCTTTGCTTTACCTTTGAATCAACTTGATGAGGATACCCTCAAGAAACACGCCGGGACCCCCTTTCTGATAGTGTAGGCGCGGTGTCCTTCCATGGTGCACGGCCTTGTTGGCTGCCAGCTGCAGAGTTCCAGACTGACTCGCTGGGGAAAGAGGATATGCGTCAAAATAAGAGCGACCAAAAAAAACCAAAATGTGTATATATATATATATATAACGTCATGTATTCAAACGCATTATATCTAACATTGAAAATCATTGTGTACACACACACAAAATGTATATATGTGCTTAAAAACTCGTGTAAATACATGGTCTAAAAAATGTCTATGTACAAATCAACATATGGTAGAATATACTTATATATCTTAACTTATGTTTAATATATATATATATATACACAATATATAGATATATCTATCGAAGATCACTTTAACAATGTATAAATATGTGTATTACCCAAATTGTACTGATACACTGTCAATTTCATAGGCAAAAACTATATTCCTCGTGGTGTGCCATTTACAGATGTATGTGTATAACCTATCTGTAATTTGCAGGTTTTCCTCAGATCATCAGCACAATTCAGCATCGGCTGCGCTTGGGCAGCCCCCAACTGCCGGCAATATTGCAGCTAACAATCCAGGCGCCGATGGGAAAATGGTTTGTTCCCTTTTTGGGTCTTGAACTGGGCGGCAACAGCGCTTCTGGCCCAAAATATGAACAACTACTTGCTGGCCATTGAATACACACACTCCCAACAAGTGGCAGGTTATACAGCCTACTAAATTCAATAAAAAGCGAATTCACAAACGGAAGGTTGCTGGAAGGTTCCTGGAAGGTTCCTGGAAGGTTCCTGGAAGGTTCCTGGACGGTTCTGGCGTTCCATTGAACTGTGACTGGATACGGTTTCCGGAGCGGATTGACGTTGCGGAAGGATGGATCGGTTCCAGAGGCTGTTGGGGACGCTCATTGAAAGCCATCCAAAGCCACTTGTTTCCTCCAAAAGACGGGGCAGGTTGGTTTGCTTGGTTACTCGTGGACAAGGAAACCAACCCTCACTCAACCCCATGCCAAGTCTGGCGCATAGCAAACCAAGGAACCCGACACATCTTCATAGAAAGCGTTCAGGAACACCTTGCAAGTTTGAGGCAGGAACTTGTGGCAATCCCATCGGCAGAGGCATTGAATTCGGGGGTCAGTTTCCGCCTCAGACACCTGACGAGCAAGCCGCAGCAAGGCAGAAACGCTTGCTTCCGAAACAGGCATATGGTTGCTTCCCCGAAAGAAAAAAGAAGTGTATATTTTGCTTTGAAAAAAGATGGAAACCACCGAATCCATTCTCATATTTGCAAGGGTGGCGCCGGTTCCATGGACGTGCAGATTGCATGGATATAGCTGGCAGTGGCTTCCCTTTTTGTTTTCCCTTCAAACGCAAAGGGAACGCCGTCCAAAAGGAGATTGTCCAAATTTAATGACACCCCCTTGGGCTCCTTCTGCCCCTAAGTTGCCCCACCGGCAGGCCCAAAGAACATTCATAAGGTGGCCCCAAATGTGCGACAAGACAACTTGGTTGGGCTCAATCTTAAGAACTTGCATCGCCAGACAAAAACCCATAGTTGGGAAGGGGATAGAAGGGGGTGTCAGTTGAATGTCTCATAGACATTGGCATGAATTCCTGAAACAAGTGTTGACCATGAGGAGAAAGCGATGGACAGCATGCGTTCCTCTCTTCAATGTCGAGACCCCAATGCTACAAGGCCTGCTGTCAACGGCACAATTCAGGCAAGTCTCTACCGATTGAACATACGCGTCTTCTTTCCAATTGTTCTCAAACGTACACACCGTTGAAATGGTACCTCTGCGTTTGTGGAAAAATTCAAGCTCAACGGTATATCACTTGACCAGTGATGTCATGAAGGGGTAAAGCAATACCATTGGCCATGATGGCATGCTACCTGGGTATATTTATGCATTCAACCGAGAACGCGCACGCACACACACAAACAAACAGACACACGCACTCACACACACACAAACACACAAACACACAAAAACACGCACAACTACAAATAACACACACAAAAGCACAAACACGCAAACACAGACACGCACACACATGCGCGCACACACATGCGCGCACACACAAATATATAAACAAATTCTTATGGATGCGAATCCAGCAGCTGCAAGAAGCGAGGATCGCACCTTTTCCATCAAAGCGCCATGTGCGCTTGCAAAGGATGAATGCGCTCAAGGGTACCACTTTGGACCATTGGCGGCGTAAAGCACTTCTGGTCAATACATGTATGCGATTGCATGCACCAAACCGTCACTGGTCATTTTTTCTTTGACCAGAACGTAAGGTCGCAGTTGGAGTATTCAGCCACTCCCTCATGGTGAGGCGCAAGTTGACATCTGCTTTCGTGAGACCGTCCGCGCGCATGTAGCGTCCGTGGCCTGCAAGAAGTTCATGCGGCAGCCCGCACGGCGGGCTGGTATGTTGTGAAGGATCTGGCTGAGGCACATGTTCACAAAACTGGATCTGTCCGCTCCCTCGTCAGCTGCCACAGCTTCGGCAGCCAGGGTGCTGCGGCACACTCTGGGGCTCCTGCAAGAGCGCCAGTCCATGATGCTTACCTTGCCCTCTTTCTCGGTGATATCTGGAACCGTCAAGGTGACCAAAACGCCGATCTGGGAGGTTGACCTTTCAGCGTTGGCGTCCGCCACGAGTTCGACCGGATGCTGTTCATGAAGTACGGCCGCGATGGGGAAGTATGCAGCATTATCCTGATCTACGTGGATGACTTCATTGGCACCCACAGATCCGACTACAACATCAAGGAGGTCTTCAACCTGTTCCGTTGGGGACAGCTCAGTACGCTCGACGACTGCAAAGACCACGACTTCAAGGGTAAGCAGCTGCAGCTCTTCAAGGACAAGAACGGACGCTACAAGCTCCGCATTTTCCTGAGCAAGTTCCTGAGGCTTTGGAATCCGGACGGGCTCGTCGTGGACGCCTTCAGCAAGATCCTGAGCTGCAACCACATGAAAGGGCCGAACTCAGAAGCGTTGGAGGTTGCCTTCAATGGGTCGCCGGACAGGCTCGCCAAGAGTGTCCTTGCGCAGTAGGGGTTCTACGGCTACAATCCTGGAGCTCAAGTCCCTCTACGACTGCGTGGACTTCCTCAGGGAAACGTCCAACAATGCGATCATCATGCAGGACATTCCCGTGAACAAGGCTGCTGACTTACACCGACAGCAGCTGGGCAGAGCCTCTTGACTACTTCTTGGCACCATAGATGTGGAGCATTGGGAAGTCCATATATGTTCCCACGCACTCTGTACAGGCGCGCTTTGCATGTTGAGGTTATCTCGATGAGCGAGTCCTTGGGAGGCCGCATGTAGAGCGGCGCTGGTCGTTCGTGATCAGGTTGCTGGCCCTGCAAGAAGGCTTGTGCTGGCGTCAGCCAGCCACGAGTTCCACTTCTTGCCTGAGTTGCCGATCTCCGCATTAGCTCCGGCAACAATGAAGGCGTAGGCCAGGTTCTCCCAGGGGTAGGCGACTCGCGGGTGATCTTGAAGATGTCAGGATCACAGTGTCCGAGAGCAACAACTCGAGCTTTTGCTTTGATCTCTCCTAATTAGGTCATGATTTGTGTTGTTGCTTAGCCCTGCATATTTCATCATATTCCCTGGTTCTAGTAAACCCTGATTGCTTCAGCAGCCCGCTTTTGGAAAGCGACCAATTCATGCACTTCCCCTACATGGAGACAAAGAGGAACGGGACAAGGAGAACCAGGCAATTGCAGAAGTATTGACAAACCCCTCCACATGTCAGCGCGTCGGAAGCTTGCTGCAAGCTGCAAAGCTGATTGAATTCCCAAGACCTGCCCCATTCTTCCAAAAAGGGGAAATGGACTTAAATCGACAAGCAACTTGAAGCAAAGTCTTTGACCCATCTGTACTAGCGCCGGACCAAAAGTTTGACTTTCCGGGATAAAACCAACATTGCATGCCCAATCAAGATGCCCCGAGACATTTGCCACACATGTGCACGAATCTCCGGGCTAAAGATGAAAACCTTCCCGCCTCCGCTTTGCTTCCACCTTGGCGGCTCGAAGCCTTTTGGGCCACGTAGCCTGCCTGGCAGACGTACCGGACGCCCCGTATGTAGAATTGTGTGTGTCTTGCGCAAAAACAAGTTTTCGGGCCCCTTTGGGCAGTTTTTACGCAGTTGCTTGCTCGGGGGGTGTGGGGGGTGGGGGGGTGTGGGGGGTGTGGGGGGTGTGGGGGGTGTGGGGGGTGTGGGGGGGTGTGGGGGGGGGGTGGTGGGGTGGTTGGGGTGGGTGGGTGGGTGGGTGGGGTGGAGGGTGGGTGGGTGGGTGGGGTGGGTGGGGTGGGGTGGGGTGGGGTGGGGTGGGGTGGGGTGGGTGGGGTGGGGTGGGGTGGGTGGGTGGGTGGGGTGGGGTGGGGTGGGGTGGGGTGGGGTGGGGTGGGGTGGGGTGGGGGGTGGGGTGGGGTGGGGTGGGGTGGGGTGGGTGGGTGGGTGGGTGGGTGGTTGGGTGGGGGTGGGGGGTGGGGGTGGGGGTGGGGGTGGGGGTGGGGGTGGGGGTGAGGGTGGGGGTGGGGGTGGGGGTGGGGGTTGCCCGCATGAACATCGGGAAAGCCATGGTTGACGGGGTAGCAACTGGCATTTGCAGGGGTTGGCTCCCGTCTTTACCCACAAGGAACAAGCCAAAAGTGCATTGAATAAAAAAACATGCAAGTCCCATCTCTGTAGTCCCAGAAGTCCCTGCTCAACACCCCCGCTCAGCCTTACGCGTCCTCGAACTTCCGGTTGCGCTGCCGCCGCATCAACTCAGACCCCCTTGGCAGATCCCTCTCGCGCTTCCTGGCCGGAAAGTTCTGGAAACGCAACATGCTGGTGAACAGCAACCCCAAAAACCCAACAAAAGAACATCTTTAGGGGGGCCTCGTGTCTGGACTCCATGTTAATCTGCAGGGAAATATCACCTTGGTCAAGTGGGGACTGTTCCCAAATGTTTGCTTCACTACATCCACTTGCGCGTTCAAACCACCCACGCCGACCCCTGCTTGTGGGGTGTCCCTTGCTTACAAAAGGTTCAATCTGATTGCTTAAACAGCAAAGCACTCCTTCCGGGAAACGAGCATGTCTGAGTTTTTGGCTTCGAGGTGGCGCGGAGCCAGAAAGCAGGGTTGGGCAACTCAACCCGTTGTGTGAAAACGTTAAACCCCGCTCCCTTGGGTTCGAACTCAAGGATAAACCAGAAACTTATTGCTTCGAGTCAAGCACTGACGTGCCAGCGCTTAAAAGAAATGAACTGTCGGATCTGAGCAGCACAAACCCCAGGCTCCGTTCATATGTGAACCGCGATTGGGCCCCTAGTCCCAACACATTGCCACGCCGGAGTCTTACGCGCCTTCCTCTCGCGCGAGTTCCTGCGTGGAGGCGCACCTAGGTTCGGACGCTTTGTTCGAGGCTGAGACTGCGGCGCCTGGGACCGGAGCTTGGTGCGAAGAGCACTCCGCCTGGCTTCAACTCCTGCGAAGTACTCCTGGGCGGGACACTCAAGCTCCTGAAAAACAGAAACGTGTTTGCCAAGGCCCAAGCCCCGCAAAACCCGCGCGGCAGCTCGACGTCGCACACACTCACCTCCTTGTGCTCCGGCCGCCTCCTTGACGACCCGCGGGCCAAGCGCGACGCGCGAAGGTCCTGACAGTGCTTAGCCCTGCTCAAGATGAGATTGACCGCTCTTTGGAATACATGTTCAGCATCTTTCAACCCCCCCTCTCCTTCTCGAACTGAGCCTTCGTGCTGTACGCCGGGAGAGGGGCTTCGAAGACCTGACTAAACAAGTTCAGGGCACTCGCAATGGGAACCGTTTCCCAGTTTCGCGCAACACCACCCAGATCCCTTTGATTGGTTCGACTGCGGGCCTTTTACTTAATAGGGTTTAAACACATCACGTGAAGCAGGAAACGCCATCCAAAAGGTGCGGGCTTCACCCTGGCGCAGGGGTCACCAAGTGCCACCAAGAACCATCAGTTCAGAAGCCTCGGTGCGACGCCCCTGTGTCGATGAAAGCGAGCTTGCTAGCTGGAGCCTCTGTTGCTTGAGCAAGTAGCAGGAAGCCGCCGCCACCCCCGGCGGGCCCTGGGGGAAACCGGATGTGTTTTTCGCGTTTGGTCAGTACATGCCCCATTTTGCACGGTGCTCCGGAGACCTTCAGTTTCAAGGTGATGTGTATGTTTTGCTGCTGACAACCATGCGTGTGCGTGTCACAATTATTTGGGCCCCCAAACATCAAAAACCACGTTTCTTTTCTTTTTTGCACACGCGGGGGGGGTGTTGGGCTGGGGGGGGTTGGGGCTGGGGGGTTGGGGGTTTGGTTGGGTGGGAGGGGGGGTTGGGCGGTTGCAGGTCAGGAGGCTGGAAATTCACTGCGCCTGGTTTTGAAAATTTGGCGTTTGAGCTGATGTCCTAATTGTTTTGATGTTGTCGCACAACAACCTGGGCTTCCCGCACCAAAATCGGCGAAGTAGAGGGTGTTTTTTGTCTCAAAGACCCGGGGGTTCCCTTGCAAATTGTGGATAAATAGACGGGTCGCAAGTGCAAGACAAAACAAGTGGGCTCTCGCAAAAAGCTTGTTTCTTTTGACAAAGGCAAGTCTGCGGCTAAGGAGCCAAACAAATCACGTTGTTCAAAACTGACCCCATAGGCAGTCGCTACGGGGAGACTTCAAAGGCCAAGTCTTTTCCTTCGCCACACACCGGTCTTACCGCGGGTTCACAGATCAGGCGCACAATCGGGCCTGTGCACTTTTTCGCATCTCAGATTTCTGACACAACACGCTTTCCTGAAAAAGGGCCTCGTATTGAACGCAAGTGAAACCAAATTTCATGGTTTCAAACCTGGTACTAAATAGCGGTCAAATGAACTAACTATCCGCCCCCCCCCTTCAGCTTCGTTTGGCAACACAACATATGCACGGACTGTAGCAGCAAGGGCCCCCCTTCCCCCAAAAAACTGGGCCATCCATTGTTCGTCAGGGGCAGGGTCCAAAGCAAGCGACTTGAGGTGCTGACGGATCCTTTGCAGGCTTTCCTGACCTGACAGCCGCCGAGACAAAGCGCGTTTCGAAACGGGCCGGCCAGGTAGCCCTCACGGCGGCTTGGATTTGTTTGGGTAGATTATACAAAATATCCCGGCAAACAGCTGTCAAGAAGGCGTCCCTTTTGAAGGTCTTCCACGCGCTCTTCGAACAGAAGCCTCCTCAAAGGCTCCTACAAAGAGTTCCGGGGAAAATGTGTCCTGAAGAAAGCCTTGGCAGGCTGCACGCAGGATCTTCAACAGAATCCTCTATAAGTCGTTCTCTATTCAGGATTTGTAGATATTCTATTAAGATTTCTCGACATGAGATCTCTGAAGGTCCTGCGCGAGATCTGTTGAAAGGGTGACCAGCGCAAGAAATCTCTGGGAAACTTTTATGGCAAGACACCTGCCTGATTTTTAGGCGCCTGGTTCTCTCCTTGCGTTTTTGTCGCCAGGTGGCCGGTGTTTTGGGGTGTTTTTAACATGTTGTAAGGGTGTTTCTGGGGCCTGGGTGTTTTTGGCGCCTGGTTCGGTGGGCCGGCTTCCAGGGGCTGTACGGGAGTTTTCGGCGCCTGCAGTCCCCTCCTCTCGGTGAGAGGCGGCAGCTTTGTAAGCGATGAGAGCAGCGCTGTCACATCGGCCGGCGCGTTCAATGCTGTTTTCAACCCCCCCGTGGCCGGAATTTGGAGTTGACGCTTGGTCGCACCATGTTCTCAAGCTTTGTCCGCCGTGAATGTTCGCGCGCAGTTTAGCGCCTGCAGGATTTGGAGCTGTTGCGTTGGTGTTGCAGTTGGAAGCGCTGCTGCTGTTCACGTAAAACCTGCGTTGAGTTGATTTCGCCTGGGAGATCCAAATCCATTGCCGGCAGCGCTATGCTCAGATCACGCATCTATAACCGTTTTAGCAGAAGCCCTGAACCTCGTTGTCGGTTACTACATTAGCTTGTTTTGCATGCTTCTTGGGATTCGCACGCGCGCGCATGTCCTTACAGCCATCTCCATGCGCAGATTGCTGCAGGGGTCTCCGCTCACTCCAGCTGCAAATCATCCACATCGCCGCGTCATGAGGCTCCCGAAGAAAACGTTGTGTTCATGCGCGCTAAGACTTCGAGCGAAGATGTGCTTCGGGAGTACAAAGTGCTGCTGAAGGAAGAAAAGGTAAACGGAAGGACTAAGAGAAAGCATGGGACGGGAACGGAAGGGAAGGGAAAATTTAGAATGGAAGAGAAGGGAAGGAAAGCAAAGGAAGCAGAGGAACAGCCAGAAGGAAGGAAGAGAAGGGAGGAACAGACGCAGCAGGGGTGTAGGGAGTTGGCCGGGTCAAGCAACTTGCAAGCTGAGAGCAAACTGCAGTGTAAATCCCGCGCAATGTGTGGCAAACATGGACAACTTACTTAAACTGACGAACGGTGCTCTGAGAAGATCACGCGAAACACTGCTGGCAAGCGAGTGCGGAGGCCACAGCAGAAAACAAAGGACTGTCTGGGCACGCGCTCTGTGGTTCAAAATTTAAACTAGACCCGGTTATCCCGAAAGCCTACTCGTTCCGAGAGCCTATTGTATCAACGTTGCTGCCGACGCAAGCCCAGAGCTGCGCAAAGCGGAGCCGCGCAACGCAGAGCTGTAGATGCGCTGTGAAGCAAGGCTATGTCGAGATGCGCTGTGAAGCAAGACTTTGCTGAGATCGGCTGCGCAGCAGGGCTGTGTTAAGATGCGCTGCCAGCAAGGCTATGTTGCGTTGCGCTGCGAAGCAAGGCCATGTGCTGTGTAGCAAAGCTGAATGGAAGCGTGTAATTGCAATCGCCCACAGCACGTGGGACAAACCCAACGGCTGATAATCTGAGAAACCGAGGGGTTTCTTTGGAATCCCCGACAATTCAGAGATGCTTATCGCCACAGGCTTGGGGTGGGGAAAGCAATTATTTATTTATTTTCATTTGTGTTTTCATTCTATTTTCATTTGGGTTTTCATTTCATTTTCATTTGTGTTTTCATTTCATTGTGTTGTTACTGGTTTTCCTGCATTTCGGGACCCTGGAAAGCAAAAATGAAAAAACTCCAGGAAATTTTCATGTTATTTTCATTTGTGTTTTCATGTTATGTTCATTTTGCTGGTTTTCCTGCATTTCGGGACCCTGGAAAGCAAAAATGAAAAAACTCGAGGAAATTTTCATGTTATTTTCATTTGTGTTTTCATGTTATGTTCATTTTGCTGGTTTTCCTGCATTTCGGGACCCTGGAAAGCAAAAATGAAAAAACTCGAGGAAATTTTCATGTTATTTTCATTTGTGTTTTCATGTTATGTTCATTTTGCTGGTTTTCCTGCATTTCGGGGCCCTGGAAAACAAAAATGAAAAAACTCGAGGAAATGTTCACTTGATTTTCATTTGTGATTTTGTTCTATTCTCATTTTGCTGGTTTTCCTGCATTTCGGGACCCTGGAAAGCAAACATGAAAAAAAACGAGGAAATTGTCATGTTATTTCATTTCTGTTTTCATTTTATTGTCATGTTGCTGGTTTTCCTGCATTTCGGGACCCTGGAAAGCAAAAATGAAAAAACTCGAGGAAATGTTCACTTGATTTTCATTTGTGTTTATATTCTATTCTCATTTTGCTGGTGTTCCTGCATTTCGGGACCCTGGAAAGCAAACATGAAAAAAAACAAGGACATTTTCATGTTATTTTCATTTCTGTTTTCATTTTATTGTCATTTTGCTGGTTTTCCTGCATTTCGGGACCCTGGAAAGCAAAAATGAAAAAACTCCAGGAACTTTTCATTATATTCTCATTTTGCTGGTTTTCCTGCGTTTTTGGACCCTGGAAAGCAAAAATGACAAAACTCGAGGAAATTTTCGTGTTATTTTCATTTCTGTTTTCATTTTATTGTCATTCTGCTGGTTTTCCTGCATTTCGGGACCCTGGAAAGCAAAAATGAAAAAGAACCCGAGGAAATTTTCATTTTATTGTCATTTGTGTTTTCATGTTATGTTCATTTTGCTGGTTTTCCTGCATTTCGGGGCCCTGGAAAGCAAAAATGAAAAAACTCGAGGAAATGTTCATGTTATTTTCCTTTTTGCTGGTTTTGGAACTCACTCTGGAAAGCATAACATGTCCTCGACACATGAGACATATGAAAGCCCAAATGAAAATAAAACGAAAACACAAATGAAAATAAAATGAAAACACAAATGAAAACAAAATGAAAACATAATTATTTTGGCATTTAAAGGCTCTCCCCAGCTGGGAGTCTCTGGACCCGACAACAGTGGTTGCGTTGTCCTCCAGGAACCCTGCAATATTCCAAATATCCTTAGAATCGCAGACCTCCTGCGAGCTCGATTTGTTTTTCGTGTCTGCCTCGCAATAACGATTGTGAGACGGATCTTCAGCCAAATGGCGATGCGTGTGTGTAACACTTGTTAATTGCACCTGTGGTCCGCACACTATTCACAAATATAGTATTCCCAATTCCAATTCAGCAAGGAAGAGCCCGCTTTTTTCAGAAACCCCCAAAAAGGTGGACACTAAAGAGGACCCCAAAACAGTCACATTAATCAGGGCGACAACCCATTTGTGCTACTGGTTCCCTCACTTTTTTTGTTAAAGAAACTACCATAAGTTTGATGAACTCCCAATGTTGTTTGCCCGTTGTTTGTGGCCTCGGCAAAAAAAGTGTCCACAAGAGAGGATCCTGAAACAGTCACAGGATCCTGAAGTAGAAAAAGGACTTCCTACAATAGAGGACACTATCACTAAAGGAGGTGTAACAATACTTGAGCGGGCGTCGGAGGTTGAGGGCGTGGGCCTTGCGCGGGGATGACCTTCTGCAACGCGGGCTCCTGGTTCCTGTTGATGGCCTCCAGGCAGTTTCAATCCCCTCACGGAAAGGACCTACAAACACTACTTGTTGGGCTTGTATGTTCCTTCTGTGGGGGTCTTTTTTGGTTTCTTGTTTGGGGTTGTTTCTTTTATGGATGGTTGTTCGTCAGCATCCCTTTAGTTTGTTGTTTGGATGGCGGTTTGAAGGTTAGGGTGTGGTTTCTAATCTACCCTCTACAAGAACCGGGGGTTCAAATCCCCAACCAATGCAAACCACCAAGTAAGTAAGAGCTCTCGCTTTTGAAGCGGAACCCTCTGGGTGGTTTCCCTGTTTCCCGTTCAAACAAACACAAAAAAGCCGGCGCCCTCAAAAGTTGGACAATCCCTGTAGCCCTGGTTTTGTTCAAATGGCTTTGTTCTGTTGAGAAATCCTCAACCTGTGTCTAAGGGCCCATAAACCAAGAGGTAAAACGAAGGTCGACAAAGGCCCGGAAGTTTTGGCCGCTGATTTTAATTGCAAGTGAAATCCAAGGAGGCATATCTTATCATGCACCAAGTCCGTACCCAACGCCTGCAGCACCACCAACAGCACAATCAGCACGAGCACCACTTTGGCAGCGACCTGGCTTGCAGAGTTGACGCCACGACGCCGGCGCGATTCCCGACACAGCATCAGTCAAACCACTTTGGAGTCGTCCCGCATTAGCGTCTGGAAATGATTGGCTTGACCAAGGGGGTTGCTCCTTTCGAAAGGCTGAAATTACCAAATCGCCAGCTCACCTCCCAAAGCCCAACACGCCACCACGCAGACGTCATACTGCTCCAGGTTTAAGGATGTAGTGGGCAAAGCACTGAAAATTGTCACCCTGAAAAGTACACCCCCCAAATCAGGCAAACCGCAAATTGTTGGTGCAAGCCACACCATGAAGAGCGGGTATTGCCTTGGGGGGGGGCTTGGGGTGGGGTGGATGTTTGAGTGAATTTGAGTGTTTGCTTGGTCCGAGGCAACCAAGATCACACGCAAAGCTTGCGCTGTAGATAAATAGATAGATAGACAGACAGACAGATAGACAGAAGGGAGAAAGAGAAAGAGAGAGAGAGAGGGAGAGATAGAAAGAAAGAAAGAAAAATAAACCGAAGAAGGAATAAAGTCAGACAGATAGATAGAATGATAGATAGATACAAGCATGAAAAGCTATTTAAAATACATTTGTTGTGTACAGCCAGTTGACACCCTCTGATGCTATTTGTACATCAAGGCTTTGAGCCTATAGTACATCCAGAGTAGCAACAGCGTGACCTTGCCGGTTTGAATCACACACAGGCTTGCACGTTACACAGTTTCTCCAAGTTTAACACAAGTGGATAGCTAAATAGATGGCTGGAGAGAGATTAGATAGATAGCTAGCTAGCTAGCTAGATAGATAGATAGATAGATAGATCGATCGATAGATGGATAGATAGATATAGATAGATTAGACAGACAGACAGACAGATAGATAGATAGCCAGACAGACAGACGGAGATAGATCGATCGATCGATAGATAGATAGATAGATAGATGGATAGGTAAAGAGGTAGGTAAATGGATAGATAGAGGGAGGGATAGATAGATACATAGGTAGATACGTAGATAAACAAAGAGAGATAAGATAAGTAAGATAGATAGATAGATAGATAGATCGATCGATAGATAGATAGATGGATAGATTAGACAGACAGACAGACAGACAGATAGATAGATAGATAGACAGACAGACAAACAGATAGATAGATCGATCGATAGATAGATAAATAGATGGATAGGTAAAGAGGTAGGTAAATGGATAAATAGAGGGAGGGATAGATAGATACATAGGTAGATACGTAAATAAACAAAGAGAGATAAGATAGATAGATAGATAGATAGATTGGATAGATAGATGGATAGATAAATAGATAGATAGATAGATAGATAAATAAATAGATGAGTAGACAAATAGATAGACAGACAGACAGACAGACAGACAGGCAGACAGATAGATAGATAGATGGATAGATAAGTAGACAGATAGATAGATAGATACGATAGGTAGATAAGATAGATACATAGATACATGGATACATAGATACATAGAGAAGATACATAGATACACAGAGTAGATAAATACATAGATAGATATGCAAATGGAGAGACAGGCAGAGACAGATAGACAGACAGATGGACGGACAAATTGACAGATAGCATAATTAGATAGATAGATATAGATAGACAAATATTTTAGACAGAAGGTAGACAGCTGGATAGCTAGACAAACAGATAAATGAAGGGATAGATAGATCAATATGTAAACAAAAACAGAGAGCAAAAAGAAAAAAAAGAAACATAAAGAAGAAAGGAAGAAAGGAAGGAAGGAAGGAAGAAAGAAAGAAAGAAAGAAACAACGAACAAGAAAGAACGGAAGAAAGCAAGAAAGAAAGAAAGAAAGAAAGCGAGAAAGAAAGAAAAAGCTAGTAGAAAGAAAGCAAAACAAAAGAAAAACAAAAAGAAAGAAATACAGAAAGAAGAGAAGCAAGAAATAAAGAAGGAACAACAGAAAGAAAGAAAGAAAGAAAGAAAGAAAGAAAGAAAGAAAGAAAGAAAGAAAGAAAGAAAGAAAGCAAGCAAAAAAGAAAGAGAGAAAGAGAGAAAAAGAGAAAGAGAGAGCGAGAGAAAGGTTTGTCAAACTACATGCTTCACTTCCTGCATTTGTGTTGCATGTACTGCAGGCCTTGAGCTCACTACATCGCATGTGTAAAAGGTGGATTGCTGCAGACTACAATCGGTTGACTGTTTGTTTGAACACTACAGCACTTGCACTTGGAAGCAAAGTAACCACCGATTTTAACGTGGTAGGGGAGCTGAGATCCTAAACATAGGGGAGCTCCAGTAAGCAGTAAGTACTACAACCACAGCAACAGCAGTCACATGCCAAACTACTACGACATGTCAGGAGAAGCAGCATCAGCCTCAGCACAACAAACTACAGGAGCAGAGAACGGGCCAACAGCAGACACAGTAGGAGCCACAACTACGGGAGCAGGAACAGAACAAGACAACGACGTTCAGAGACTACATAGATACAAACTGCCACCACCCTTCTTCACTGGTGACTACTCCCAGTATGAAGAATGGCTGTTCAAGCTACAAGCATACCTCGGCCTCATAGGACCTGGTACTACAACTAGCACAAGTGGCTACACGACAGATTGAGGACACAGACATAGGAGCCCACATACGCGACCCTACACAAGCAACAAAAGCAGTAGACCTCTCACGAGATCTACACTACATCCTCATCAACATCTGTCAGGGAGCAGCAGCTACAGTAGTAAGGCAAAACCGCAACAACGCAAACGGATGTGAAACACTACGACTACTACACAACAGGTTCAGCCTACCAGTAGGAACAAGAAGCGTTGGCTACCTTACCAAACTAGTGGAACCTACATTCAACGAAGCGCAGTTTGAAGAACAATTTCTACAATGGGAATACGACATCAACCGCTACGAGAAAGACAATGGAACAGCACTACCAGATGGAATCAAAATAGCAATACTACTCAACAAAACCAAAGGAGCACTGCAGCAACACCTCCAACTGCGAGCTGGACAGATCACGAACTACATCAAGATCAGAGCACTCATCTTGGTCTACTACAAGACGATTTCAGCCTTCACTAGATCTACTTCAGCAGTAGGAACAAACTACAATGGAGGAGCTGCACCAATGGATGTTGACAACATATGGAGGAAAGGAAGAAACTACAAAGGCAAAGGAAAAGGAAAAGGCAGCTACAAAGGAAGCCAGAGCAAAGGCAAGTACAGGAGTAAAGGGCACTACAAAGGATTCGACAAAGGCAGCAAAGGAAACTACAACAAAGGAGGATACAACAAGAGCAAAGGAAAAGGCTACTCAGGATCCAAAAGGATATGGATCAAGCAAAGGCTACAAAGGCCAACGAAACTACAGCAGCTATGAGGACACAGCAAACTACATTGGAGGCATCAACGAGTCACACCTTACCATTGGACACATCAGACAAGCAAACTCACGACTACACAAGCACAAATCCAAATCACTACTTGGTAAGAGAACAACACACACAACATCATGGAACGACCACAGCAAGAGCTTTCAACAATTCCTACAAGAAGACACCACACAGCCACACTTTGACATAGCAGCAGCAAGACAACAACAAAGGAACAAGAAGATTGAGGACACTATCACACACTACATCATGTACTCCAACTTCAAGTCGTCATACCACCACCTGTTGATGGACTCAGGACTACGGACTCCAGCGACCATGGAACTCCACCACCTCAAACATACAACGACTCCAACTACCACTTCAACCATCCTACACCTGGCAACACAGTCTGCTACAACCCGACCACAGTGATGGACCAACTACACATCACTGAGCACCAGACAACCACTACACCACCACTGCCCGACAACACACCCTACACACAGTTTTTCACTGCACTCACACTCGAAGAGTATCAACTACTTTCACATCAACAAGCAACTCCACTTGCACTGGAGACCTTCGGATGCCCCACTACAACTCCACCCTGCTCAGCGTTTCACTACCTGAAGCAGCCAACGTGCACTACTACCATACGACTTCCCTTCACACTACAACCGGCGACAACAACAACTACGTCATCATCCAACTGCAGATTGAACAACCACTACTCCTGAGGTACCTCACTTCAGGACAATTTATCCACTTCACCAGAGACTACATTTCCTACGTGATGTCGGTACAACAGAAATACTACCTCCCAACTACACCACTGCCACAGACCATCTACAAGGTGAACTACAACATGACCATCTTCACCGACAACTACAGCCTCAGGAACAACTATCTTTGGAACTACCACATGCCACTACTACTACCTGAGCTACTCCACTACCTCTACAACAGAGACCAATTCCACGACTACCAACACAAGGCAATCACTACAATTCTCTGCAAGAGTATCCAGTACTACGGATTTACACTACTCACCATGACAAACCTCACACAACACCACAAGGCACTACTACACCGCTTCCTCAGGGACTACAACCAGCACCTGTCCTGTCCCGAAATCGACGATGAGCGACTACGAGGAGCACCAAACTACATGACAACCTTTTTCACCACGCACTACTTTGCGACCTTGGACAGTCGACTACACAAGGTCCAAGACTACCGCACCCAGAACTGGGGACTACATCTTTGAGCACATGCTCTACTACAACAACAAGTGCCTGCCTCACTACTTCCGTCCAGCGCACTACATCGAGCTGGAGCCTGAACAGCGAGAACTACTGAGTGCAGGTTACTACTTTTGTCACTACAGTAGAATTGATGAACAACAATGGTTTTCATCACTACTTTCAATCCATGTTTTGCACTTCAGTTGAAAAGGTACTACAAAGACCTTTTAACTGAGGGGCCGTGTCAAACTACATGCTTCACTTCCTGCATTTGTGTTGCATGTACTGCAGGCCTTGAGCTCACTACATCGCATGTGTAAAAGGTGGATTGCTGCAGACTACAATCGGTTGACTGTTTGTTTGAACACTACAGCACTTGCACTTGGAAGCAAAGTAACCACCGATTTTAACGAGAGTGAGAGAGTGAGAGAGCGAGAGAGTAAGAAGAAGAAAAAGTTGCGGAACTCCTGCAAATCCTGGAAGGGTGAGATATGAGCCAAACTCCTTTGTTTGCCGCTAAAATGTGCTTCCCAAAAAGTATAACGCGGATCATCCACCACCGCCATGGAACCGGACGGGGCCCTGGTGGTTCCATGGTGCCCGGGAGGGTATTATTTGCGAAGATCAAATAGAATTGGTTGGGACTCGGAAAATGGGAATTCGGACCCTTTGGTGAACAGCGACATGGGAATTCATGAAATCAACAATATGAACTCGATGAACACCCAGCAATATCATGCCAGAAACCGGTACGATAGCCTGGCCACAGTCAATATGTATTGTGTTCCCGAGATAGGATTTTGGTGAGTAGTCCCTAGTAAACCCAATGCCAGCTCCCTTAAATCATGGAAATGTTCTCGTGAAGACATTAAGCGAGTTCCCCAATCTGCCTTCCATCCTAGCCATGGATATGTTGACCAAAACCTCGAGATTTAGGGGGAGGACTTCTGTGCCGCCTTTTAAGAGGGATACTAGTTAACAACCCCCCGCCCCCCAAAAAGTCAAATAAGCAATAAATAAAAGCACGCAGGTTTTGCTTGCAGGAACCATGAAACTGTACCATGTTCCATTGCGGAAGCGAGGAGAAAAACTTAATCCCCCCCTTTACCCTACCCCCACCCCCACCCCCCACCCCTGGCAATTCAACATGTTGGTCAGGAAAACATGCATTGTGTTTGCCTTGCACAGGAAGAGGACTCAGGTCCAATCACTCTTGGTAGAAAAAGAATTGGAACCCGTTTTGAGGTTGAGCTTTTTTTGGACCCCATGTCTACACTAGGCGTGGCAAACAGAAACGGGTAGTGGGGTAAGTTGCCCTGTTGTGCAATAAGTTTCATGAAAACCAATTACGGGGAAGTGGCAAACACCCCTGTGCTTTGGAAAAGTCCTTGATTTCAACCAGTCTGGGCCACCTTTCAGCTGTGGCAAACAATGCGAGCTCGTGTCTGGTCCCGGGAGTGACTAAGATCGCGGAAGCTTGCTGAGTTTGTTGTTTGCACCAGGGCGGAGCCCTGAAAAAGCAAATAGCTTTGAGGAATAGACTTACTCCAAATCACGTGTCGCGCGTTTAGCGCTCACTGTTGGTGGCTCACTGCTTACCTTTGCAAACCAGAAGGATTGCCTGTATAACTGGGCTCGCAGACTGACTAAATGCGTTGAGCAGGGTTCCCTCAATTCCCCCTTACCACATCACCCAAGGGAACTCACCGGGCCAAAAGAGTTGTGTAAATCAAAACTGGGTCGCCTGGATTTCGCCATGAAAGTCCGCGTCCGTCTTGTTCTCCTCGGAGAAGGAAGCCGCACAGAGTTCCTGAAAGGATCCATTCCAAAAACAGCTAGAGCTAATGGTGAAGGTCAGTGTGTTTGTCTGGCCCAAATGCATCCTTGAAGGGAATGGGTCGCCCTTTTGAGCTCTTGACTGAAAATGCACCAGAATGGGAAACCCAGAATGTCGATTCATGTCGATTTGTTCTGGGCTCAGTGAAGTGGTTGCCATGGCTGAAAGGCGTTGTGCCACTGGTCGAAAGCCAAGCTTTGACCAAACAATCAGCATGCATTCATCTGGCGGATTTCCGTCTTTTATTGCTCGTTGATTTTCAGGGGAACTCCTCCAACTACAGAACGGACAAACAGGCCACTTCGGTCTGGGGACCACCCGAGTGGTGCAAAACAACAATGAGTCGACTTGGCTTTCGTTTTGCGCCTGGCTTCCTTTCAACCGAACCGAAACTCCACCGCCCTTGGCAATTCTAGGCTTAGCTTCTTTGCCTTTTCCTCTCTGCATGTTCAGTGAGGGGGTTGCAGAAACAAAGTGTTGGCTAAAGGGGAAGCAAAAGAAGACCATCCAGTTGGGACGTGCAGTTTTGTTGAGGCTCAGTCCCCTTTTCAAGTGACAAATTCAATTGGCTTTGAATTGAGGCACGGCCCTTGCTTGCTCCTGTTGAATCGTTAAATCGATCAAGCTTCACTACGTGAACAAGGCGTTCCGCACGTTTGATCAACATTCCCTTGAGTTGCTTCAGGTGCCACTAAGACGTACAATCTGTATCGAGTCACAACTATCTCCCCTTGAAAGCAACCGGGACAAAACAACCCTAAGAAATGGAAATTATTTGCGGTACAATTTTGAGCGAATCGTTGTCCTAACTCGCCAACCTGAAAAACGGACCTTCTTCATCATGGGCGTGACCGCAAACCCCCTTGTGCTGCAAGACTTAAAGAATTGGAACCATGTATTCTTGGCGTCCGTTCCATTTAAGTGGGTCCCCGGGACCCACCAAGCAAGAGACTTTGGGGGTGGAACCCACTGAACAACTAGGTCCAACTAGCCCAAGTCGACACCAGGGGATTCCTTTGCTTTCCCAAGAACTGGATCCACTGAACTAGAGGTTGATCCTTCAACCGCGGCTCCTTCTCAGAGCGTGGGCCGGACTCTGGGTGCTGTGGCGAGCCTGCCAGAGTAAAGTGCGAGCGATGTCTCCTTGAAATACATACAATGGCGAAATCTACCGGGTCTATTAGCGTGACATCGAAGTTAACCCCCTCCCCACATGGCTGGGTTCAAGGGAAACTACCAAGTCCCAACAAGCAATCTTGAGAACACAAAACACGTTCACTGTAAGAGACTCAAAGATATGTTTATACCGACTTTCCCACAAACTTTGAAAGGCTGGTTTCGGCGTGAGGGAAGCGACAAGTGTCACACCTTCACCCCTGGCTTTGGGGAAGTCAAACACGTGCTACTTGGCACCCAAAAAAGGCTGCAGGAACACAATGACCTGTTGGTTCATTCGGGTTGGATCCATTTTGTGGAAATCAGGGACCTGTCGAAGAGACTTTGTGAAAGTTATGGAGTCTAATCTCTTTACTTCCTGTCAAAAGGCACATCTTATCATCCCTTCTGTCAGGAATCACCTCAGAGCAACCTGTTCTCCCAGAAACAGCCACCACAAGGAAACTTGTGTTCAAAACGCGATGTTGAAAGCAGTGCGGGAAAAGCCTTCTCACGCGCTTCAAGTAATTTGAAGGCTTTGACTCGTGTCCTGGTGACATCAACTCCCTCCTTTCCAGGCCAAAGGCCTTGCCTGGATCGCCTTTCGCCTCCGACTCTGCGAGCTGCAGCACGTTGCCCAGGGCCATCCGCTTTGGCCTCGTCCGCAGAGCGAAGCCGAAGCTTCGGTCACAGCCCCCTTGCCATCTTCTCATGGTATGCAGCAAACCCTCCCCCAACCCACTGCCTCTTTTGGTTTCCTCCACATAAAGCCTTAATAAGACGCTATTCTTGCGGTCTAATCTGGAAGAAACCAGGGGACGGATTCAAACTGATTTGCCAGTGGACCTAAAATGGACACCCGTGAAAAAACAAACCTGAGGCACCAGCTCAGCTTGAATGGCCTCCTGACAACCCGAGGAAGATGCAAAGCCCTGGGTCGGTCTCAAAGTACTGATGGACAAAGAGAACCTGAAGAACTGTCCACCCTAGATTGGTCTGTCAAAGGCTCACAGCAACCCTGTCCCTCTCTGAGGGGAAGCCAACGAGAAGTGGGTTCCGCCAGCTGCAGATAATTGTAGACCATGGATAAAATTGTCTGAGAAGGTGGTGACTGTGAGTGTTTTGGGTTTTTCTGAGAGTACATCAAATCCGAGCGGCGTAGTTCACATCTGCTACTAGCACAGCCAACCAAGCAGCAAGCTCCAGTTCACACGCCCAGCATTCGCGCCGCCGCACCTGTTGCTGCTGCTCCTCCACGCCCACACGCGCTTCCGTAAGCTTCCGCATGTCCAGAACGGGGGCCATGTCTTCCGACGGATTCTCCAACGCCTCGCTCAAGAATTCAAATGCTCCGCAAAGGGCCCAGAGTGCCACCAGCTGGTCATCGGTCAAAGGCTCGGGAGCCAACAAAGATGGATTCCCCTATCTGGAGATGCCACGGTTGTGAAACGTGGGTAAGGTGGTGACTGTGAGTGTTTTGGGAACGGGTGCCCCAAGGTACAATGGACAGCCAGAACGACTGTTGTCAAACCAAAACTAGTTTGGGTGTTTTTGTCTGAGAGTACATCAAACCCGAGCGGCCTGCTACTAGCACAGGCAACCAAGCGGCAAGCTCCAGCTCACACGCCCAGCATTCGCGCCCCAAAGACGGAGTGAACATCAATGCCCACGGACATCTTATTTGTGATTGTTTCTTGGCCCAGGAAGGAGTAGCAGCATGGGCGCAAGGAACCACACCTTCTTTTGCCACGAACCATGTATCAGGACTCAGCAATCAACCATTTTTGGATCCGAGGGCTGCGCCAAGCTTGGCTCCTTGGCCAGCAGCTGCATCGCGCCCTAGCTGAGATGCAACAAAGGAAACCCCACATGCAACAAAGGAACAACTAAACAGCCCTGCACAGCTGCACAGCTGGGGAAAATGGTCTGTGCTTGCACTCGACACCGTTAAAAAAAAATACTTTGGGAGATTTGTTTCCCCCGCGCCGCCTTCCGCATAATCGCCGGTCGACTGAAGAGACTCCGTACACAAGAAGTAAAAGAAGGAGAACCCAAACGAAGTCCTTAATTACAGGCAAGGCAAATGGGAGAAAAACGACGGGGCCAGGCACACACATGGCTTAGCCACATGTTCCCACACGCCCCATTCTGTCGCAAGACGCGAACAAAAAGGGAGACCAAGCGAAGGGTCGGCCACGCACAAAGCCAAAAAAGGCAGCGAGCGTAACTTCACGACCAAAGGTGAGACACTAGGCATCAGCCACAGCACCAGCAAAACATTGGTGCAGAAAACCGGGCATCCGTTTTCAAGCCAAATATTCACAACACCGCGCCAATGTGAAATTGATGCGCCCATCTGTAGAATACGCGGGATTGTTTGGAGCAGACAAAGTGCAAGTTGCCACCAATCCCCAACATTACTGCTTGCACATAAAGCCATTCTCTCATGTCACACCAAAATTGTGCTTGTATACTCACTGTCTGTAATCGAAACCATCTGCGCACGCATCAAAGATGATCGTCCAGAAGCCAAGCATCCACATGCTCGTGCACCAACAGGAGGTCGCACCAACCTGTTCCAAGTCTGCAAAAAGGGGGGAGCGACCCCACCTGCGGCAGAGATGTCAATTGTAAGACGAAATCAATTGCACGCGGCGCGCTCCACCTCGCTTTGTAGCAGCAACACTGTCAGAAGTGAACCGCTGCAATTGGCTGCGCAGGCGACTCAGTCACCCAATGGTGCCGAAACTTGCTACGAGGACAAACTCCACCACTGCATGACACCAAGCAAGCCAACACGTAAAACAAAGCAGCAATTGAAAGGAAACAACAAAATACAAACGAAGACTCCACCGCGAGGTTGCAACACCATACCACGTACCAAAAAGCACATGACGCCCAGTCCGGGACGGCTGCGCATGAGTTTTTTGTGGGAACCTCTGCTCTGAACGCGGCCCCATGGCCGATTCCGCACGGATGCCAGCAAAAAATCGTGTTATGAAAAGATGCCGCATTGTCCGCATTAGCAGGTGCGGGCAACTTGCCCCCAAGCAGTACTAGGAAGTTGTAGGGGCACGCACGCAGAAGGCTGTGCTTACGGATGGCTTCCAAAAAAAAAAAGCTGACTGGCTTTCTGGCTGGCTTCTTGCTGGCTTTCTGGCTGGCTTTCTGGCTGGCTTTCTGGCTGGCTTGGCTGGCTCCTGGCTATCAAAAAAAGACGGTTGGCTGGCTTTCTGGCTGGCTTCTGGCTGGCTTCTGGCTGGCTTTCTGGCTGGCTTCCGGCTTTCTGGCTGGCTTTCTGGCTGGTTTCTGGCTTCTGGCTGGCTTCTGGCTGGCTTCTGGCTGGTTTGGCTTGGCTTCTGGCTGGCTTTCTGGCTGGTTTGGCTGCCTTGGACCTTTTTTTTAGCTTGCCTAGCTACGAGGCAAATTGCAAGCGTATCTAGGGCATTATGTTGCAGCCACACGCCTCCACGCAGCGTTTTTGGATTCGCAGGACGAGGTCATTTCCTGGACGGACGAGTGCTAGGAGCCTGTCAGGTAGAATAGAATCCATTTGGGAAACCCCCTCTAAACAAAAAAAAAAAGGCGCTGATCAGCATGATTCTGGCGGAGTCTTTGAGAAAATCTACATATTTAGTCCCAGCGTGAACATCGACAACGCTGGGTCTCCGTCAAGAAGTACATCGAGCAGGACCTGGGGTGAATACCGAACGGGAGCGCCTACTGCGACGAGTGGGACGAGACAGCGCTGCGGGGCATCATCTAGAGGCAGCGCAAGAAGTAGTAAGGAAAGAAGGCTTATAGTCCCCTATTAATTTTCGGATTTTGGCCAAAAAACCCTGCAAAACAGCCAAATTCTTCAACCCGCTGAACGTTTTTCCGATGTCACCGGTCTTTGTCACCACTCCGTTTTTGGTGCAAAAAGCGCTGAAAACGGCGAGCTCCGAAAAGTGCGTTTTTCGTGTCCTGCGTCAAAAGTTCTGCCTGGGCCTCCAAATTCGCTCGTTTTCCATGAAGCAAACCAGGTGTTGTGGTGGCCCAGATTCGTTTTCTGCCCCAACCAGGGCTATGGGCCCTCAAGAGCTCGCCTTCCGCGGTCACCGCACATCTGCTTTATCACCATAACACGGTGCAAAGTAGGCGAAAGATCAAGACCCGATTTCCCGAGCTTAAGCTGTCTGGTTTTCGCAGCCGGCAGCCACGCCGAAGTGCTCCCGAATGCCCGTCAGCCGCGCAAAGGTTTTCCGTAACGCGTCAGCCATGGACTCGTCACCGCCGTTGTCACCACGATGCTCTAACACGTCAGCCCGCCGGATCGCAAGTCAGGCCTCCGAAACGTCGCTTACGAAGAGCAGCGCCTAAACAAATGCTCCATGGGCCAGCATCCAACGGCTGGCCAAAACCGCACAAAACAGCCAAATTCTTCAACCCGCTGAACGTTTTTCCGATGTCACCGGTCTTTGTCACCACTCCGTTTTGGGTGCAAAAAGCGCAGAAAACGGCGAACTCCGAAAAGTGTGTTTTTTCGTGTCCGGCGTCAAAAGTGCAGCCCGGGCCTCCAAATTCGCTCGTTTTCCTCCGAAAACCGGTTCCAGGTGTTCGCCATGCTCCGAAATCCGCATTCTACCCCGAAAAACCTGCGAATTCCAGCCCGCTGAGCTTGTCACCGCCGAAGTCACCGGTCTCTAACACGTCAGCCCGCCGAGGCGCAGCCCAGAGTCAGCCAGTGTCTGACGCGGCAGCCCGCCGAGGTGCTCCCGAGTAACACGTCAGCCTGCCGAGGTTCTTCCACGTAACGCGTCAGCCCGCTGAACTCGTCACCGCCGATGTCACCGGTCTCTAACACGTCAGCCCGCCGAGGTCCCGGGAGGAATCGAGCCTCCGAAACGTCGCTGCGGAGAGCAACGCCTAAACCATCTCACCACGGGCTCTCGCTACCTGTCCAAAACGGCGCTTTTTGGCCCAAAAACGGTCGGTGTCACCGCTTCGTCACCGCTGGGGCCGAAAAGTGCGCAATGGAAAAGCGAGTTCGTGTGGTAGCACGGGAATTTTAATTGAAGGATGTTTACCCTCAATCGCATTCCAGCCAGCATGCTTGACTGGGCAAGGTTGGCTCAGGTCTCGTCATGTGGCCGAGGTGTCCCAAGCGTTTTTTGACCGACATTTTCGGCCAATTCATCGCCTCATGCCCAGTGGCCGATTTTATAGGACACTGCGCCACTTCGCGTGCGAGTCGATATACAATCAGAACACCCGGCGAATAGCGACTCAAGGTGTTGCGAAAGTGCGATGCCCCAGCGATACCATTTCGTAACGTCTACTCCTAAGAAAACATGTTTGAAGGACGCAACATCCCCGAGGTCCTGGACAACGGAGAGGTGACTGACGGCACGCACGTCACAGCAGGACAGCTGGCCCTCGCTCTGACTCCCTACGCTCAAGTGACTGACCTGGCGGTGAACACGGCAGCCTCAGGCAACAACGCCGCTGCCATCCAGTCCCTGGACGACCGAGTCACCGCCGAGCTGGCCTCAAAGCTGGACAGCAGCGCGCTGGCGCCGGTGGGGGCCGTCACCGCCGCGGCGCTGGCCTCCGAGCTCGCGAGCCGAGACGCCTCCATCTCGGGGCTGCAGGCCTCCAAGGCAGACGCCAGCGCCCTGACTGCTTACGCCCTGCAGTCGGCCGTGGACACTTCCTCGGAGGTGGACTCTAAGATAGCGACAGCCCTCTTGGACGCTGTCGCCACGGCAGCCCTGGACGCCGCCCTCCTCGGCAAGGCGGACGCAAGCGCGCTGGCCTCCCTGCTCTCCACGGTGGACGGGTTGGACACGCCGCTGGAGGTAGACACCAAGATAGCAGATGCCCTGCTGGGTCTCGCCACCGAGGCCTTCGTCGCAGCGCAGCTTGCTAGCCGGGACGCCAGCATCGCGGCGCTCCAGGGGGCCAAGGCCGACGCGACGCTGCTGGCCTCATACGCCACGAACGCCGCGCTCTCGGCCAGCGAGACCACGCTCCAGAGCGCCCTCGACGCAATCCTCGCGGAGCTCGCAGCCCTGCAGCTTTCCGGCAGCGGCGGGGTTGTTAACGCGCCGGCCTGGGCGGGCTTCACGACTTGGGAGCTCGTTCGCGGAAGTAACGTCGTTCGCAACCTGCATTTCGTGGCTCCTCTCTCTGCTGCGCTGGCCAACGGCGACGACACGCTGAGCATCACGGCAGACTGCTACTCCGTCGCGGCGGCGGACGCGGCCCTCGCGGCTGCGCTGCTGGCCTACTACACCTCCTCACAAGTGGACGCGCTGTTGGGAGACTACCGAACAGGAACGGCGCAGGACGCCGAGACGACCAGCGCCATCTCGGCCGCGCTGCTGGCCTACTACACCTCGGCGCAAGTGGACGCGCTGTTGGGAGATTACCGCACGGCAAGCGCGCAGGACACGCAGACGCAGGCGGCCATCGCGGGCGCGCTGCTGGCCTACCGCACCGGGCCAGCTCAGGACACGTTCACCAGCAGCCAGATCGCAGCAGCGCTGGTGGCGTACCGCTCAGCCACAGACCAGGACACGGCGACGGCCTCGAGCATCGCCGCCGCGCTGCTCAGCTACTACACCATCGCGCAAGTAGACGGCCTCCTCGCCGGCAAGCTCGGAGTCGCGGAGGCAGCCTCGGCGCTGCTGATAGCAGTGCGCTTTCCGGACGACGGAGGGGCCGACGAGGTGGTGGCCGCCATAGGAGAGCAGATCCTGGCCCCACGGACGTCTCGCTGTCAAACTGGACGGTTCGCCCCAGCAGCGGCTGCAGCGTGGTCCTGGCCACGCACACCGCGGGAGTGAGCGTGGACGGCTACACCCTGACCCTGGCGGTGA